TTTGCCTTTATGCCATTTCCCACTTTCTAAATTGCAATACACTTGAAAGGCCTCATATTCGTGATTCTCATACCACACCTTATTAACTCCCACAATTAAATAGCAAATGGAATTCCTACTGAGAATATTAATATGCACAATCCAATTGCTATTCAGCTACTTCAAAGGGAGAATGAAAGAGTTTGACTACAGATCTCAGAAGAGAAACATCACTTGGTAAGGAGGTTCTAGTGTTGGTGTTATTGGTAGTTATTGTTGAGAAGCCAAACCAGATTGCCAAACCATTACTTTAATTAAAAATAGTAGGTCAGATATCACAATAGAAGGCCAACCGAGAGTGCCTCAGGTTGTGGTCAGAGGTCACAGATGACACTCTGGTGCACATCCTCAGGAGGAGTGTCTTAGAGTGCTGACTCTAATGGGACAATCACTTGTCAGGTTAACATGGAGGGGAAAAGAGCTTGCAATGGATTCAGCCATATTAGTCGTGCTACATTAGGAATACACTATATTTAAATATTTGTAGATTACATTGTCATTACATTCAAGGTTTATGCCTGGATGTTCAATAGTGTTTCCATAACTCTCTGTCTCAAAGTACTTAGACATCAGCTGTTTAAGGCAACACAAAAAATACATCACACATTTTATTTTATAATTAAAACTTGCAAAGGGGAGGAGCAAAGTAACCGGTCCAAATACATTATTAATAAATAAATCCCTCCAATGTCAAAGTTATGCCCAAAGAATGTTAATATAATATGGTTTATTGAAGATTGTGGACAATATGTGGTAGGAAATAGGGAGCAATTGCACCATGAGGGACATGAGAAAAAAAGTCTTCTTGGAAATCAAGATAATAATTTGTGTCGGGCAACACCGCCTGGATATTTTGATCCTACTTACTCAAACATTCAGGATCTTTGGGATTGGTCATTGATTTGAAGATGACTTCCAACATGGTTTATATCTCAAATACTGACCATTCTAAATGTAATTCCTCTTTTTTTTGACGTTATACTATGAAATGGCGCATTACAGTGACTTTTTCGATCCCCTGCAGTCTGATTAAATAAAAATGTGCACGACCCGAGTTCACTTTGAACGTGCGATGTTGCTTAACATTGTGAAACCATTCGGACATGATCTTGAAAAATGAAGAAACAACAAATGCTTCAATGGGGGAAATATAATTCAGGCAATGTGCTTGTTAGTGAACACCTTAACTGTGACCTTTGACCGTCAAAATCAGTTCATCTTTGAGTACAAGCTGTTGTTTGTGCCAAATTTGAACAAATGCCCTCAGGATATTCGTAAAGTATAGTGCTCACAAAAATTGAGCCTGACTATAAAAGGAACAGCTACCGACACACCACAAACACAAATGGCATACTATAATATATTATCTTAAAATAGTGTGCTTAAGATAGCCGCAGGCATTTTGGTAACACATCCCAGCTGCTGGCTTTCAACGTGTTCCCAAAACAACAATAAACTTTTCTTCTTCTCATCATCTCCTCTTCAATCAATTTTTTAATTGTCAGTCAACCCGTCTGCAGAGAAATAAAAGATGGAGTGACTGTTTCTGTGCAACGAATTAACCTCGAAGGTGACTTTGTGTCTCAGGCAAACATCTCTCCAGTAAAAATAGAACATTCGCTTATGTAGCAGTGGTACTTAAATGTTTGGCTTGGCTGTATCCATTCCTCCTCAAGCCTCTGCAGCTGACTTTAGTCAGATACCCTAGCAGGACTTTCAGAAGGGAATATCTTATCAACCGCATGATTCTCTGCAACTCCATTGAAAGCAAAAGACAAACGATCCCCACTGTGTTCCACCCCATCCAGAAAGGCATTTTGTCTACGGAATAGAAAGCCAAGCACCGCAATGAGTTTGAATGGGAAATGGGCACTGCTTTATTATGCTGCAGAGCCTTGAAATGAACGTGGATAATAGATATATTCACAGCGGTATTAATATCGTCAGAGTTCATCTTTATTTTTCCTCTTCCCTCATTCTCCATTTCTCTCTCTCAGGCTCCAAAGTATTTTGCCCTTGGCTAAGCCCTATACTAAATAGATTTATGAGAACATTTGTGTCATATTTCCTCTTTTCCAGGATTGTCAAGACAGATTGTCAGTGCAGCACTGATTGAGTGGAATCACCACACAGACTTGGTTCTCATTGTCAGGCCCCACACATTCATCTCATGGGAGGGGGTTTAACAAGGCAAATTGGCCAAAAAGACACTTCTCTTAAGGCTTTGCCGCCTACATCAAGATGAGGTCAGGGGTATGAAAATAGTGTAGTGTATGATGGCCAAATGGTTATATTCTGAATATCCAATAATAAATCCATGAATATTGCATAAATAGTACAGGAATATTATTATTTGCAAACCACTTTTACTGATGTTCTCTGGAAGGCAAAACATATATATATATATATATATATATATATATATATATATATATATAGTATGGAATATAGAAAAGAGAATGTAATTAAAAACTGTCTACTGAACCCTTCATATATACAATATCTACTGTAATGTCTTGGCCATTTACTTCAGATAATGTAGCAGGTTAAAACGTACAATATTAAGCTTTAAAGGTGTAGTGGACTAAAAAGTACAATATTTACCTCTGAGATGTAGTGATGTAGTGTTCGTTGGGCAAATACTGAGACCTAGCATTCATTTCCAGGCTTGTGTACGCGGCCAAGCCAGAAAGACGAGGATGGTAACCAATTAAATGCAATGGCTGGGTCCGCCCACTTTGCAGAAAAAAATAAATCTGGCGCGAGCAGGTTAAAATTTTGCCACCAAAAGAGCAGTGATTGAGGTCGTGCCCATTTTTTAATGATTAATTATGCAATTTGTTCATTAATTCATTCATTTTAATATCAACAGGTTGGCCGTATAATACATTTCTAAAATGATTGTGGGGAAATATGTATAACCTTTTGAATGTCGGTGAAATTGAAATTTTGTCCAGACAAAAACAACTGAGGACGTAATCCAATTTCTCAGAGAAAACTACACAATGTAACTGCAAGTCTGAAGCAGCCAATCAAGGTAGGGGAAATGATGAGTTCTTTAGGAAATCACCGAGGCCTGATTGCACCCCTCAATGAATACAATAATTTTAGAAGCTTCAACCAATGGTCATCTGATTACATTTGAATTCCTCAAAATAGAGAGAAATAACTTGCAGGTAACATGGTACACACACGTTTGTTCCAAAAAGATTTACTTCCCCAGTACGCAAAACAATGTTAATTTTTTCCCACCAATGAAAAAGATAAAATATTTTACTTTTACTTCTTATATGTGATACGATGCATGTTGATACAGTGTTGTTTCATGTAGTTCAAGTGCAGACGTGATTACAGTGTATAACCTTTACAATATGAAGCATAGCAGGAAAACTGCAAAAAAAAATAATCCAAAAAAAAGTAAAAAGGGATTAAGGTAAGAGGTAAATGTTAAGGAGATCTTCCAAAAAGAGGCAAGAAGACTTCATGGTCATGTAAGCTGTCTTCTAGTGCAGGGACGGCAACTTCAGGGAAACTAGCTAGTGCTGGCCAGAATTTAAAGTATTCACATAAAATGTAAAAAATTCCCTTCCCTCCAAAGCCTTTAGGTCTGTTTTATATTGGCATGTTATAAAACATCTATTATTATTGTAATAACAAAGCTCGTTATTGATAATTGGCACCGCTCTCTACCTAGCTTTTGGTAGACTTTGATTAAAGACGGTCGGAGAAGCATCCGGGCCGTCCAATCATTTCAGGCATGCTGAATGAAATGATTGGACGGGCTTATTACAGACCTGAATCAGGCACATATACAAGAGTTTCTATTTTCTTTCATCAGCATTTCATGTATTCATTGCTTTCAGGGTACAAAGGACCATATAAATAGATATAACACGGTTAGGAAGCTTTGATTAATTGTCTTTCACCAGTTTACCTGATAGGAGACCAAAAGTTTGCAAATGATCTGAAGATAGTGGTAAATTATTAAATGATGCTCTTGTGTTTCTACAGGGAGTAAAAGCTTTTCAAAAGAAAGGGAGACGGTCAGCACATGGCCTCTGGTCATTCTGTTCCTTTGTGCCTCAAAGTAAATCTGATGAAATAGATTTTTAGAGGCTCCTTAATGGAAATGTAAGCTTTTCTCATTCAACCAGCTTCAATATGAAAAGGACACTTTAAGATATAGCAACTAAAACAAAAAATGTATCTACAATGTGGCAAAATGTATTTTAATGGATATTCTTTTCTTCTTTAAAATTAGACATCCGGCCTTTAAAATCATTCAAACCTTTCTTCTGTGTGTGTGTGTGTGTGTGTGTGTGTGTGTGTGTGTGTGGTAACACTATTGATATCTCACAATGTAAACAAGAGGTGTTGTTGTTTTTGTAGTCCTTGCTCCTTGAATAGTTCCTAAGTCATTAAATTAACCGGCATCATCCTACATAAATAATTTTCATGAAATAACAAATTGATATAATTCAAATGTTGTGAATATAGACATCTAAATATATACCGTGCATGAGACTATTCATCCCAGTTAAACAATGGCTGGCAGCGTTAGTCAAGTGCATAATTAGTTGAATTAGATTAAATAACCAATTAAGAGGCTAACAAAGTAAATAAGCCTTTAGGGATTCCACCAAATTCTTGGGAATAGATTTAAAGTGGAATTAGTTTTATTGACAGGCTGAATGACAGAGTGGTCACACAAACAACTCTATTTCAGTCACAAAGAGAGGATGCTAATTGTTGTCAAGGGAGTAAAAAGATAAGTAAAGGATGAAAATATGTTGATGAGAAGCTAAATTAACAGATGTAGAGAACTCATTTATTGCTATATTTTAGAAGTCTTATTGTAAACAGTAAAGCCCTTGTACACAGAACATCCATTACCATATGATGTTGGTGCTTATATTACGCATGTGTGTGTACTGTATCTCAATACAGAGATGGAGACATACCTTTGCTGGCACTTTCCACGTGCTCCAGTTCATCTGGAAACCTCAGAATCTCTTGGTGACTCTCCTCACACTTCTCAGCGAGGAAATGCAGAAGTGTTGTATTCTGACTGATGGATTTAGTGTCTCGTAGCTAAAAAAAAAGAAGAAAAAAAGGAGAAAATATATATTTTTTTAAATAAATAATTACAAATTCTTTAATACTCATTTGTCAAATGTAGTATACGGCCTGATAATTAAGCTGCATACAAAAAAAGAAACGACTGTGGTTGCAAGAACCAACTACAAAGTATGTTTATGCTCTAGTGGGAATTACACGACCAGTAACATAACAATTTCATCTCTAAACCAAATTGGGTACTGAATAGAGACACAGTAGATAAGGTGTGAAAATCAAAAACAAAACATACGTTGACGTTGATTGCAGATGTCTGGTAAAATAAATGCACACACTCATATACTGCACAGTGCACATACACGTAAAATGTTGCTGCGACAACCCACGACAACATAACCGAGTGGCAGGAAAGTACAGGACTGTGTTTGCCAAGTGTCTGTGTGTGTGTGTGTGTGTGCGGATGTGTTCATACGCAAAAGCTGGAGTCTCCACATCAAACTTGTTTCATATTCATTCCCCACCGCGATCGCCATGCTGTTCGAAAGGCATGCTGGGTAAACTAATTATCACAAGCTACCTCTGTGTACACCTACTGATAATATCTTCACTGTAAACAGCCTGCATTTGGTGATGCCCATATGTGTGCACGTGCAAGCCTGCGTGTACAAACCCCTACCAATACACACACACATACACACACACACACACACACACACACACACACACAGCAATACATAATTACATGCTCATATAGAACCACGCACAAAAAAATGTAGACAAAAGTGAATTGAAAGAATAAGAGGCACACTACCACAAAAACACACAGGATCAATAATGTGCTCCCGTCTAGTGGAATGTTCAACACACACACACCCACATGTCAGTGTGGACTGTAACGCAGTAATGTCTGCTATACCTGCATTCAATTGAAACAATTCACTGGTCATTGCACATTAAGGGGGCTGATTAGATCATTTACGAGTGGACTAGTTTGGACGGCGGGGGCAGAGAGGTCGCTTTCAGACGTGCTTTGCTAGGATAAAAAAGAAAAGAGTTGAGATAACACATTTAGCCGAGGGTATATCTGTAAAGGCAGGGAGGGTGAGGGGGGGGGGGGGCTCCTGTATAAAAGCCAAGTTATTTTCACACAATTTAACTTCAGGAATATAAGTCAATTCAGATTCGTGGTATCGTGAGAACTGTAGCGGGGGCCGTGGTCTATGTCAAAGTCCGGGGCAGATTGTAATCCTGGTCCATCTCTTGTCCTGGCTATTTGAACTTGTTATTTTATTTCATGTACATTTATGTAAATATTGTATTTTTATTTTAATTTTAAAATTGGTCGGCTTTCCAGAAAAGGCAAGCACAAGAATTTCAACACACAGGACGTGTGTAATTGACAATAAAAAAAATCTTTGAATCTCTTTGAATCTTTGTGCTGAAAGCCAAATGTGAAAAAGGCTTCAGCTGTCAGAGCTGCTAAGCTTTGCAACTCGGTGCTTGAAGAGCGCATGTGTCTTATCCCATTAGATTTTAATGCATGAGCTGGATGGAGTGTAAATACATGCCTACTTCTTCAAAACAAAAACCCTCATTTGAAAAAGATGGGAAATGCTTCTTCATTATGTTTTGCCGAAAGCAAATTCTGAACAGCAATATCATTCAATCTTTCATAACATTAAATTGCCCTTGAGGAAGCATTATTTCAAATCCCTCATTAGTTAGCACAATACATTCCAATATATTCTGTATTCAGATCTGCAAGGTATATTAGAAGAAAACTCACTTCCACTCCGATATCCAGATTGAATATAAATAAATAACAGAATAATTAACTCCGCTCAAAAAATGGCAGTGGGAATATAGAGCACAAAGAGAAGAATCATTGCCCCGTGATTGCTCAATTTAACTGCTGCAGATGGAGAAGCAGTTTACGGCAAAAACAGGGCAGGCATGCTGTATATTTATATGTGATGCTGTATTAGTAGAAGAAAAGGACAATATGGTATAAACTGTACACATAAAAGCATACAAAGCCACTGCTGAGAGAAAACAGACACATAGAGATGTAAAAGGTCACGTGTTGTGTGCAGGAGACAAGGTCACACAGACGTCGAGTAGATGAGCACATTTAAAATCAGCAAAATCCGTTGCCATGTGGTGTTAATAACGTAACTTTTAACGTATAAAACCGATGGTTAATCACTTCCATACTATTCTAGGTTTTTATGCATTTCTCTTTTTTACGATACAGTTGTTCTGTGAAATAAATTCATACGCACGAAAAAAACTTTTCCATCATGACATTTGCTCACAGGCTTTTCACACAAAGCCACAGTGACATGAAATCCACATTTCACCGCTGCGCCAGAGCTGATGTTCAGCTTGAGGACTAAATGTGACCAGCTTTGCTCCCGGGGGAGATTTGGGTGTCCTTGGCGGGATGTGGGCCTGTAGTGGAGGGCTGAAGCTGGAACGTGGAGGTGGGTCAGTTTACGCCCTCCCCCTTGCTGTTCATTCTCATCATCAAACCTCCTCCTCGCTGATGAGCCCATTAGGTACCACGGACCTGCCACCGCGGGGGCCATTTACTTGATTGACTAAAGTGAAAAAGCAGACTTTTTTCTTCTTCTTCCATAATAGCCCAATCAGCCTCCCGAAGCATTACCAGGCTCTACACTGACACTCCATACCGATTCAGTCAGCTTTCAGGAAAACCACTGGATTCACCGAACCAAAGCCCCTTCGCACCTGCGAGATTTCTGGATTTGTGATGTGTGTTAGGTGTGGCTTGACATTCACAATTAGTATTACCGTTTGAAAATTATCAATCACTTAAGACACTGAACACTGTTGCCTGTGCCCCAAAGCAGCAAACTGATACAACTACTGAAAAGGCACGGGTCAAACAGTCATTGACCTTTTTCTATAAAAAAAATGAAATTATTTTTACAATCTCAATCATTTGGAGCAGTACTGCGAAAAGGATGGAGCGAGAGTGCCCTTTCAAAAGAGATGGTGCACATGAGAGGGCGGAGAATCTGGGGCTGAACTACCCAGAGTTTACATCTGGTGTGTCAAGTCGGTCTGTGCGAAGTTGCAATACGAATTTTGAACATTTGGAGCAACGTGGTCTCAGTGTGGAGCGATAAGGGGAGAAAGATCCTCGAGGCATCTTAAATATTGAGGAATTCTTGGACGTGTTAAAAGTGAACTCCATTCATTCATTTATCCATTTTAGTTTGAAACATTCAATTAGTCTCTCAATCATATCAAACTCACACCACATATATATGTATAATAAAAGCCAATCAAAATGCCAATTAAGGTTCTTACATCAACTGGTTTGTCGTAAATAAATTGAGCTACCAATTTCAATTTTTCTCTCATGTTGGCAATAATTTGCCACATTTCATTTTGTCTGGAGGAGAAAGACAAGCTTTCATATGTTACGGGGATAGAAGAAGCTAGGCTAGGCTTGGCCACCCCTAGAAGAAGCTCACAGCAGACACAGTTCAATCGGTCTTACGGGTTTAATATTTACCGCGTCCGAATTTATTCTGCTCACTCATTTCCATAATCCATTTAGCTCATCGCCCCCTTGTCCACAAAGGCAAAACCCACCTCAAGCATGAGTAAGAAAACATTTTTCGCAAAGTTTTATCTAAATTTTCTTGTTTCCAGACAATTTATCTCAATGGCAACGAGGCTGCTCCCTGCCAAGTGTAAGTTAGAGAGAGGGAGAGCGAGAGAGAGAGAGAGTCGCCAAACAGTCTGCTGCAGGAGCGAGGTTGTGCTTAGTATAGCTGTGTTTGCATGGCTGCCAGTCATCTCTCCAACACTTTGCATGCTGTGTCAGTGCACACGGCTGTTGCCTTTTTCAGTTTCAAGTTCCTTCATGTTCTCCACGCCTCATCGGGTTTTGAATATTTGTTATATTGAAATGATTTAATTTGATGGGTGTTGTAGGTATTGTAGATCGAGACTCGGTTAAGGACTTTGAGAGTAAATTAATATCCAGATACTGCTATATCACTTTTCGTCATGCAGGAGAAAAAAAACGTTGTTAGCATATCTCTATTATCTGAGAGCAACATTTGATGGAGAAGCCTGGCAATTTTGCACCTGCTGATTTATACTTCCTAAGCATGACAGAATTACATCTCAAAGAATGTCAAATGGATGACGCACAAACTAAAGTGGAGAAAAGTTTCACCACATAAAATACAATTATGTAGAAATTACTTATCGCTTATTTCGTTGGAACTACAGAGATGTGTGTGTTAATTTCAGTTAATGTTTCAGACATCATCCAAACCTAAGGAAAACCGTCTTCACAACACGGCGTTCATCTGCGCTGTGCGGCGTGTTGCTGCTTTACCTTGCATAGAAAGCTGATGTTGAAACCAAACGTCTGGGCATTCCTTGAGCCTGCATTCATGTAATTGCCGACCAGCAACACCAGCTCCAGGAGTTTGCATAAGCCTTCGCTCTTCTTCACCTCCTCGCAGGCAAATGTCACATTCATGATGTCTGGCCGGATGTTATTCACCTGCTCCTCAAATGTCAGCTTGAACAAAATGCCGTTGAGACGTGGTCGCAGGAGTTTTACTGAGCTCATCTGAGGGCATGGATGAAAACAAAACAGAAATAATTAAACAAAGTATTTTATCATTTTCTGCACTAACTTCAGGAAGCTCTCCAGGAAATAGTGTAGTGACAGCAGCCTCACATGGCTACGAGCTGTTGTTTTCATTTTGAAGCTAAACACACATGTTCTCTGCAGGCTATGAAGGAGCATGCTGACTTATTTAGAATACCCACTGAAAAGAAAGTATAATAACAATGTGCAACGACATTCTTAATATTATACGTGAGCCAATTATTTGTGTGATCCACCCCTTAAAAACATATGTGTTACGTTCAGAGCAACAATATATAACACTACAGCTTGTGACTCATTTGACAGGGAAAGAGATTTTCTAGTGTCACTTATATAGTTATGTGTCATGCATTTTATTTCTCTCCATGTGAGACATTTCAGAATGTGGGGTCCTGCAATAACTTTACATAACGTGAGAGAGCAGAAATCCAATAAAGTCGCGCAACCTTTCCCTCACAGTCACATTGAATCCCCTGTGTAGTTACGCTACAACTAGTTTTAATGGACGGGACATCAAGTACCCTCCTTAGCGAATAGGATTAACCTTTTTCCTGCATGCCTTCTGACTGCCATATGGATAAAGAACCCTCCAATCAAAAAGACTCCTCATAAAAAAAAGACAACCTCAATCAATACTCTTGAAATAGTGGGTTTCAGTGTGGAGTCGCTGAAGACAGAAAACTATTTTTTTTTTCTAAAAAGGGGGAGGGAATTAAAACAAACGGGGGTTTGGTGCAAGACATGTGGCAAAGAGGCAGACGGTAGGTCTACACAAGCACACGCACACTGACACGCAAACTAATCCACTCTCCCTTACTTGAATTGGTGTGTATACAATAAGGAGAAATCACAATGAAAGCGAGGACATTGGGGACAGATCTGGGAGATAAAGCTTGAACACAGCTTATTTCCCAGGGGAACTAAATATCTCTGCATTGAGCAGCTACTTCATCAGTAGAGAGTTCTGTGAGGACACCGGGGATGCTGCCACCCCGGCTTGTGTTGTGTCTCCAAAAAAGGCAAAGAAGCCTTCGACAACTAAACATAGCGAGGGAGCTGAAGGACATGCGCAACCCGAGGGTCTCATCGAACACGCCATCTGTAAATCCACACATCGTACCTCCGTGATCTTGCTGTAAAGTCAACCTCAAACATAACGGTTGTTTAAAAGTGCCGGTTATTCACTTGGTAAATGGATGGAAGGAACAGTGCATTTAAAAGTAATAATAGCTGTAATTAAGTGGAAAGGTCAGAACGGCTTGATGATGTGCATCCTTTCTTCTACTCTACTAGGCCTGATGTAGTTGTTCTAATGTTTTAATCAAATAAGTCAAATGTGTCAGAGGAATACCTCGTTATTTGGATAATAACAAAAAAAACTATGCTCTTTATTTAAAATGTTACTCACAGCATTATTTAACCTATTTATGCGATGGTTAAAACTTTGGACGGTCATCGTAAATGAATCAGAGGAGTCTGAAACATGGCCAAGCTGGCTGACTATGGGACATCCTTTTTAACAAACGTGATTCATAGCCTTAGGGTATGATTTTATCAGGAGGAAACACTGACAGTCCAAAAAGAAGAAAATGTCATTCACCGGGTTCTTGGGGAATGCATTGATTGCCAATCAAAAGCATTTTAAATGTTCTCAGCAAGAGTCAACAGGGCTTTTGATGTGTGTACATTATTGTTGGATGAACATTACAGCAACTCACAGGAAGTCAGAAAACAGCAAATGAAACAATAGAGGAGAAAGACAAAGACAGACAAAGGTGTTTAGTGTTTGTTTGTGAGTCTGCACCAGTTGTGGAGAGAAAGAGAGAGTGAGTAATGCATTTCTCAACAGTGCATTCTTGCAAGTATTTGACTGCAGCAGACTGGGAGTATGATTGTGTATGCTATGCATTCTCTTGGGGGAATCCAGTAGTCTTCAGGAAATTATACTCACCACAATGCCAAACTGCTCTGACTCCACAAGCTCTTCATATTCGCCCTTTAGTTCCGCCAGCGCATTCAGCTCTTTCTGCTCCGGCAGGTTCTTTATCAGGTTCTACGAATGGGAGAGCACACACAAACACAGAGAGAGTTACTGTTAATGCAGATCTCATTTTCTGTCCACGTCAGGGCAGAAATAACCCCACAGAGAAGGTTGACAGGGTACCTTACACAGTAGCAGGAGAGAGCCCAACCAAGCAAAGCTCATGTGTATGATCCTTTTCCAATGTAATAGGTAGCTGACCAAACAAGCATTAAACGAGCACATGCCTTGGGTGCATTTCCTAAAACCATGGAAGGACCATTCATGGCATATATAAAGCAACAATTGTAGATAAATTGTATGGAGAAGTTCCTCTCGGTTCTGACCCTGTCAAAAACACATTTTCCATCCTACGTTTATATCTGTATTAGACCAGACATCGGTTAGAACGTATGGAGGGTTTCAGCTTGTCTCATAGTAGGATAAGTAGATAAGGTCATCTAGTCAGCGCTCACTGTTGCCTTTCTGCTGTGACTTGGTGGCCCTTAGCCAATTACTGAACATGTCAGGGGACTTCAAATAACTGACCTTTAATGTATTATCCACGCTACCTTGCAATTGTCTTAAAAGCAACGCCGACGGTCTTGCCATTATTATTTTGCTATCTGCTTCTTAAATTCCCCTTGCACAAGCAAGAATAAAAGATGCTGCTGGTGGTGAGGTTGAAGATTAAGATGGAGATGAGGAAGATAATGAGAGGGGCTGGGTTTTCTGTAAATGTTAATTGTTTGTGTGAAGGTCAGCCAAGTTAATAAAATTGACCACAGCGACTTTTCCCTCTTTTTCTCAGAGGAGAATAAGAGGAAGAGATGCCCTTTTCCAGGTCTTCACAAAGCTTCCCTCCTCATTAGCTCCCCAAATTTATTCGGCGCGAGCAGACTGGCGCAGGGTCACGTGGCCAGATGGGGAGCGCCGGCAAGAGAAACAAGAGTAGTAGACACTGCTGCTGGGCCACGGCCCTGGCTGACCACTCCATAGACCTCAGCAGCGGGGCCAGTGTCTATCGCCCACTAATGATGACATCTCTGTCCTTCCCTCAGGGAATGCAGCAATATAAGAAGTAAGCCGTAATGCGGGCCTGGCATTTCTGTTTGGGAGGGAGCCATTACATCAAATGTTGCTTGCTTTTTGCTATAGCTCCAATTAGGGTCTGCGGGAGGCAATGGTGCTATGATAATGAAGGCTTTTGATCATATCAGCTGAAACCGAAAGGATTGTTGACGATATAAGAAAGCAAAAAACAAAAAAAACATATTTGTGTAATTGGATTTGTAAGGATGGATTTATGTAGTTAAATGATAACTGTGCCTATGGATTTTTTTCTGCTTTTGTTGAATATACTGCATTCAGCAGAAAGGTAATGTTAATTATTCACTCATGACCTTTTGTACAGAAACTTTTCCTGATGTTGTTTCAGGCTACCTGATTATTTTTTTATAAGGGAGAGCCGGGTGAATTTCTGTAATGTGTGCTCTCCTAGTAAACAAATTTGTAGAAACATACATGAAGACAGAACAACCAACACTCATTCCATTGGCAATTTCCTAAGTCACTTTTTTAATTACATTAGAATGAATTGAAAGTTTTGAGGGGAGATTATAACATTTGAAATTAGTACCACTCAATCCGAAAGAAAGACAGACTGAGGAGGAGCCAGTGGGAAATCGAATCCACCTTGTCCTTGTCATTTCATTTGCCTGTCATCTTGTTAATTAGAGACCCAATAGAGCACAATCGACTAAAAGGCAGCACCATATGTGCGGCAATGTGGGAGACTGGGTGGAGACGCTGGGCCAGACTCCTCACCACAGGCCCCCCAGACACGCACAGTGGTCGAGGGAAAATTACTGGAACTACGCCGGCAACACTACAGATTCATATAGTGCCGTGGGGGGAGATGTAGGAGCAACATATCAGCACATGAGCCAAGATGGCGTCAAACATGGATACCTTTTGAGTACTCTTGCTGCTTTTGATAGGGAGTCTCTACATGATTGATTTAATGTTGTAGATATCTTCTTTATCTGCTGACAATAACATCTCAAATAGCTCTGTGTACATATGTACATGTGTATATCTTATAGACGGCACAACAAATATTGCTTTTTGTAAATTCGGGGTGTGATCATTGAATTTGTATTATTAGCAACTGTCAATCAACCACGTGTTCAGTAGAGATACCAATATCAATAAGTCATTGGAAAGGAAATAATAATAACACAGAGATAACATCAAAATTATTTTTCAGTCTTTTTTTTCTGGTTATTATCCTCTTCTGAATCAGATTCATCAAGCACTTTCAAGCACATCATCAATCCATGTGTTATAGATTTACTCTCAGCTGGTCAGCAAAAGCGCTTTTAAAGGAGCTTTTTTCCGTCACTTTAACTTACCAATTGTGCATTTTTGATGCACATGAAGAAAACAAATGAAGTAAATATTTTTTGGAATATTTCCCCTGCTGCCTCCCATGCCGTGAAAGGTGTTCTTGAGGAATGTTACCGGCTGTGAGGTTAAAGTAATGAGATACAGGTTACGGTTCACTAAACATTTGTAGAAGACGACAGCATCTGCAGGGCTTTCGCTTCCACAACTTTGATCTCTGCTGCTGCCAACCAGCTCCCAGTGATTTGAGTTTAAAAGAGGGGGTATTAAGCGTGTATCAGGCACACACGTAACCATGCAGTTTACACTACTGCATGCTGGTAAACAGCAGGTGCCGATGTAGTGCAACGTGAAAATGCTTTTGATATACAGTATATAATGAATGCTGGTAAATATTCATTATTTCGTATCTGGATCAAGAAAAATCTTGGTATACGTTGTATATGCCTCTATCGGTGTTATTGTTATATTAGGCCGTTGTCATGCTGAGCAGGACGTGTAAACATGCACCACGCGTTCTTTATGACCCCTGCCAGTTGAAATATAATTAGAGCAGAGAGAAGCATATTTCAGGAGATCTGGAGATTCAGTCTGAGACGATCGATGATGCCTTTCTCAGAGCAATGAAAGCTTTAATAAGATGGGTTAAATAAAGAAGAAATCTCCTGATATCTGAGAGATGATCAGAGTAAACCGTGTTCCTCTCCACTGTACCTCTCTCTGCAGGTCTGCACCGGACGAGTGAATACACGTCTGCCATGTGCTTCACAGACGTGATGTCCTCCTTTTTAATTGATTTTCATTCGATTTTGGGAGATCGAGAAACATGTGGTACCCGGCCTGTGATTTGTGATGTGGAGCAACGTGGGAGTGGCATCTCCCTGCAGCGACACCGCAGCGGGCTCCTCACGGCGGATCAGCGAAGACTTCAGTTGGAATCAATAACAAAATAATAGACGGACTGGAAGACTTCTAAACATTCCAAAAGCCTTAACTTCCGAAGCGCGACAGTTCTAAAAAGACCATTTTATTTATTTTTCAAACTACGCTTAAGAGTCAAAAGAGAAACTTTGCACAATCGTTTGTGGGTGTAGACAGCACTCATCTGAGACAAAGGTTACTGCCACAGAACTGAAAAAGGGAATATGTGGATGCGGAACAAAGGCTTTTGTATACAAGAATATGAGAATATAGTAAAAAAGAAGGCAGCACATTCTAAAACTTTTGATTCCTCGTCTCAATATTTGGCTTATTTTACAAACTCACAATTTAAAAAAACATTGAAAAATTGCAATGCAAGTTCTTACAAATTGTTTAATGACTAAAAGCAACATTTTAAATCCTTAACTTCAACAACAAAGAACAAACAACAGCAACAAATGCCGCAGCTTATCTAACAGGTGAAACATGCTAGAAAATTGCCATCCGTTGTAATCTTAAATCATCTACACCCTGACAGACAGCACAGACGCCTCAAACCGTACTATGAGTAAAGCTACAGTGACACGTTGACAGGCAACAAACTGAGTGTGGCAGATTCTAAAATCGCATTAAACCAAATGAAAAATGTAGTCTGAGAAAAAAAGGACTCAGACGCAGTGTGAGGGAGGAAAAAAAGGTTGAGTGAGAGATAGAGGGGGAGGGATTAATTTAAGGGTTGGGGCTGGAAAACCTGACAGATAATCTGTGACATTAAATGTGTCTTTTAGAAGGAAGTATAGAAGATTTCTTTCTTCTTTAAAAAGAAAAAAAAATGCACACCTGAGCACCTACTTGGATTGTGAAGGTGTGAAGCAGGATTAAGAGATAAATTAACCCAGCAAAAGGGGCGGGGGAGGGGGGAGGGGGTACCTAGAGAAATAAAGGCAACAAATACCGAGATGGAATTTTGTGTAGAAAGAGACATGGAGAAAAAAGCCCAAGAGGGGGGAAATAAATAAGAAACAAAGGCAGGAAGAGATAAAGAATTTGGAAAGCACATTCCACTCGAACCTGCTAAACATCAAGTGGAATATGCTTGACAATTTAAATGTATATATATGCTTCTTTAATGACAACTTGTTTTGTTTAATACATGAAGACAAGCCATTTGCCAGTTGTGTGGGTGGGAAAAAAAGGGGATGAACTGAGCTGCCCTGTCAACTAACCAGCTCTCTTTTGTGATTCTTCTTCTTCAACACTGTCCCAGACATTCCTCCTTATGCAGTGCTGGTAGCAAGATGCGACTGTCAATCAAATAAGAAGAGAGCTAGCATGCAAACGAGTAGTAGAAATTAATTTGTTTGTGGAGTGTGCTGTCTGGGAGCGTCTAGGTGAGTGATGTGCCATCTGTCACGGAAACAAAGATCCTGAATTGGAGAGTGAAAACAGGAAAACAAATTTTTCTCGGTTAAGAAAACGCAGCACTCAGTGTGCCTGAAGAGAAGGCGCACGGCCTCCACCTAATCAAAATGTTACCGCTGTGCTGGTATGTGCATGAACTTGCATAACACGTATGCATGCGTGCTTGTATGTGTGAGAGCGCTTTTAATCAATATTCAACCTGAGGACAGAGTGCTCAGCCTGGACCCTACGGATCAGCGGCGTGGTGATGATTTGTGAAAAGTGCATGTAGCATATGAGGTCCA